TTTAAAAAAAACCAAAAGGGGATTTTTTTTTTTTTTTTTTTTTTAACAACATCAGATAAGTCACTGAAGCTTGAACTTCTTGTAGCTTCAGTTAGGGAAAATGTTGCTTTGACATTACCTGGGGCCCAGCCCTGCATTTGGATATGCAGGGACCCTTGTGTGGACACTCAGGCCTGTGTAGAGCTCCACTGACTCTTGCATTATGGGCAGATCCAGTTACATGATTAGCCCCTTGAATTTTAAGTAGAAGTTGGGAAAACCATTTCTTTCTTTGAGAGAAAAGTAGGGCTGCACAGGACCTCAAGAGGTAAGCTAGTTAGTCTTCTTGCTCCACGGCAGTCAGGTATCTAGATCAATTTCAACATATGGTTGTCTGTACTTATTGTGGTGTGGCTGTTCTTAAAAACCACCTGTAGTAGGGTTTCCATTGGGTAGCCCCTTCAAGTGCATAGCTATGCTAAAGGTTTGAAGGCTTTTCCCACTGTCTAATCTCAGTCCTTTGGTTGCTGATTAGTTCTTCTCCTAATCTGGCTGCACATAGAGAACGATTGATTGCTACCCTTTTTTTATTAACACTCATGAATACCTGGAGCTTTGTTATGGCCTTACCAGTTATCACTCTTTTCTCTAAGCTAAACAAACCCACTTCTTTCAGCCCTTTCTCATAGGTGTGGCGTTCTTGACCTGTTGTCATGTTTATTGCTTTCCTCTGAACTCTCCAATTTGTCTGTCTACTTCTTTCCTTAAGAGCCTAAAACGGGGCATAGGATTCTAACTGAGGCATCTACCATACTGAACACAGTGGAATAATTACTTCCCTTGTTTGGCACATGACACTCCTGTTAATAAATCCCCTAGTGACATTTGCCTTTCATGCAGCAGCATCACATTGCTGATTCACTTTGAGTTGGCAACTGCTGTAATTCTTGAGTCCTCTTCTGCCATACAGTTGCTTACCCAGTTTTTCCCTGTTTGATATTTGTGCATTTGATTTTTCCTTCTTTAATATAGCACTTTGCCCATATCTTCAGTGAATTTCACCTTGCTGATTTGGATCATTTCTTCATTTTTCTGTACATTTTAAATTCTGATCCTGTTCCCCAGCCTCTAACATCTTGATACCATTGGCAGATTTTATAAGCATATCTTTATGTCGCTCCCAGTCTGACAGATGCAGTGATTGCTTTGGGGATAATTTCTGAGTGCCAGATTATAACTGCCTAATTGAAATATACGCACAGCAAAATCCTTGCAAACAAATTGCAATGACATGGGGAAGAGGAAAAAAAACATCCATTAATAAGAACATCTAGTACTGGGCCTATCTAACCTTTAAGTTGACCTTGTCCTTTTAATGTTGTATGTAAATGTACTGGGATGTTTTCGCTGTTAAAAATCAACTATCAAATGCACATCAGGGAAAGTGGGAGTAAAGCAATACGTGCATCTCGAAGCACTGATAGTATCTCAGACCACATAAGCTTCACTCCTGTGACTGCTGTGGTTGGCACAGCTTCTCAAGCTCTCCAGCAGTTCTGGCAAGAGACTTATCCATTATTATATAAGTGGATTAGAGTAATTCACAAAATGAATAGGCTGCTCCATTAAGGCTTTGGAATAAGGAGGAAAGGGAGGATCATCTTGAGGGCTTGGGAACCCAGGAGATCAGTTCTGCCACAGATTTCCTGCTTGATTCAGGAGAAGTCACTAAGGTCCTGCTTTAGCCAGGTTCAACTTTAAGCAAACAAATGGTCCCTGACTCCAGTATATATGTTTTCATGTTAAGTACTGTGGTGAATCAGGCCTTATCTGTCAAAGTGCTCTGAAGAATTGTTCTGTTCTTTTTTCTGTAGTTAAAAAGAGAGTGAAAAGTAAGAGCTGGCATTTTCTGAAGGGTGCCTTGTGCCTACAAAGATTGAGAACCACTATTCTAAGTAGGCTGGTGAGCAGGAATCCTGGTTTTCCCTGATTAAATTGCAAATTCTCTGATAAAAACCTGAAAATTTGTGATTAAAATGAAAGGCCCCTCACTCCCCCCACAGC